CTAAAGCCTTCTCAACATAAGATTCAGCATTAACCTTGAAATCAAACGAATACCCTGCAATGAAGAAAACACATCCTTGAAGGCTTATTTTCTTACAGCATATCAATAAAAAAATCATTCAGGTAAAAATAAAAGTTACCGAAACACAGTAGTTCTGACCTTCGGAGTACACTGAAATTGCCTGAGAGTGGAACAAGGGAAATCTTGTTAAAAATTCAGATTCCCAGTTTTGCAGAAATTCTGATTTAGTAGGTCTAGGGGTAGTTCCCAAGAATCTGCATTTTAATAAGAACTCTGCACACGCGCTCGGCCGCTTCCCTGCTGGCTCGCTGGCTGACTAGCTGTCTGTCTGTCTGCCGGATGCGCCTGGTCGTTCGGCCCCCGGCCCTCCCTGCCTCCGCGTTCCCGGGCGCCAGCCCGGGTGTCTGTATTTATAGGTGCGCGCGCCCCGCGCTCGCGCTCCGGAGCGCTCTTTGCAATAACACAGTATCACGTGTGGGGAATGAAACCTGGGAGGAAAACAAAGCCGCAGGCGGCGGCCGCAGAGGCAGGCGGCAGGAGGCGAGGGGCTGGAGAAGGAGGAAGAGGAGGAAGGGAAAACCAAGCGGGTGGCGGGTCCGGGGATCCGCCTGGCGGTCCTGGAAATCCGAGCTTCCTGCGGGCAGAGTTGGTGGCTCCCGGGGCGCGCTGTAGCCATGGGCGGGAGGGAGCCTGTTTCCCCCGCGCGCTCAGCCTGGAAATTGAGGTTGCGAGCAGAATCCCTCGAGTCAGGGCGTGACGATGTGGTCCCAGAAGAGTTATGGGTCTGCAGGACAGTTATTTGGAGCAACGCGTAGATTTTGCCCTCGTGTTTGTTAACTAGACCTTTGCACTGCAGTTGGGCCCGAGAAATAAGTCCTTAATAGTTATGAGGGTAGGTCAAAAGCCCCTTTCATGAACTGTCGCACGTTAAAGCCGTCGCGAACCATTGAGGTTCTGTCTCGTTTATTCTCAGGCTGAGGATGCAGCCGCTGAGATAAATGTACTCCCCAGGGTTCTTAAGAGCCCAGGTGCGTGAACATCTTCCGTGTGGCCAGACTAATTTACACATCCCCATTTGATGGTGCTGTCGCTTTGTGATCTCTTTCTTAGCAAAGATCAACATAAATTTTTACTTTGGTCCTGAAATGTGCTGTTTTCTCTGAAGACTGAGGTGGGCTGAGATGGCCTCACACCTCTCTCCTCTTGTTACCTTGCAAATTTTCGTAGGTTATGATCTCTTCTCCTCCTATATAAACTGAGACAAGTTAATTTCTGTCATTCATTTGACAACCTACCATGCCTTCTGAAAAGATGGGCTCCTGCCCAGAGCTGCAGCTCTGGATCTGGGAAGAATCGCTCAATGCTGTACCCTAGCCTCACCCCTAGGGAAGGTAGGAGGAGGGACCTGCGCAGGGGTGGGGGGCAAGAGCCATCTGAAAACGCGTACTGCTTTCCCTATGCAGTTTGGGTGCATAGAGAAATGCAGTAAGGAACCGTCGTCACACTAGGTTAAGCTCTGCGACATCTAAGAAACCTCGGTAGAGGTGTCTGAGGGAGAAGCAATGTGTTTAAGATCAACGGATTAATTTAATTAAAGGTTTAAATTTAGCCCTGAAGCTAATGGGTAACTCTACATTGAAATTCCACTCCATTTCAAGTTCAGGAGAGTAAATTGAGTAATGGAGAGCAAATACATCCCGTCCAGAGATGCGAAGCCAACCTAGAGAATGAGATATGGGGGAGTTTCAGGTTACCTTTGCTCACAACAAATATGGCACATGGCCCTTTACATGAACAATCTTTCATAATTTATTTTATGCCATGTTTAGGCCTTTTGAAAAAGTGTAGCCCATTGTCTATTTATAGCAGCCTTTCAGCAGCTAAGTGAAAGCTTGGTGAAATTTCATTAGGATTTTAATTAACTTTATTTAACTAACTACCTAGAAACTTCCAAGCAGCCTTATTACAATTTACTTATTTTCCATTACCACAGGCCTGGTTGTGCTGGCAGGCAGTGTCGAATGAAAGACACCAACTCTGCATATGAAAAAGAAAACAGTTTTTAAATTACAGGAGTGATATATGTTAATTGATGAACATTTAAAAATAAGATAAGCAAAAAGAAGTAGATAAAGCATCGCTAACAATTTCATCTCTTGTAATTGTTAAAATTTTGATTTTTCTAGGTGTATTTTTAAACAAAAGTAAAAGCAGCCTATGTCATGTGATTTCTTTTTGCTTGTGTTGTGATCCTCTTTAAAAAAATTATTCTATGATCATTTGAATGACAGCAGTGTTCAATCGATGGAGAGACTATAATTATTAAATTTGTGCCTCAAATTGAACATTCAGGTTGCTGTTATGAAAGTAGTGATGACATCCCTTGTTTCTCTAAATCTTGCTACCATTCAACATTATTTTCTGAGGTCAAACAGATACCAGGGCAAGCAGCGTATAATGTTTCTAAGGCTTTCCATCTAAAAAAAGTGTTTCAATCTGCTTCCTTACTCTCTTGCCAGCACTGTGTACTAAAATTTTTTCATCAATATTCATTTATTTGCACATTTGCTATAACTTTTTGCCTATTTTTAAATGCAAAATATGCAAACTAATTTAAAATATTTATTAAAGTATCAAACAATAATCAACATCTATTTAACCTCCAAACTGTTCCTGTGATCCTCTTTTACTGTCCACCTACTGTGTGCCAGCCACAGAATATTTCTATAACCACCCTGCAAAGGGGGGAAGGGTGTTATCATCAATATTTTGCAGACGAGGCTCAGAAAAATTAAAGAATTTGCCCAAGTTAACCTAACTCTTAAAAGGGCCAGATTACAAACCTATTTCAGACACTGCATGTTCTTGCGCCCTCTGCTGGTGAGGATGTTTTATGAAGGGGCCCGATTCCAGATTTAATTTTATGTTTGTACTTGAGAGTCAACTATAATGGAAACGAGCTTTGGAGGAAGAGGATCTGGGTGTCAAAAGCAAGTCTTTTAACATCTCAAAGCCAATTTCCTCTGTGGGTTATTTTGAGGTACTTCTATGGGCATAGCGCCACCTTGCTACAAAAGGTATAAAAAGAAATGTGGCCTTTAGCCCTGTGCCCTTGATAGTGAAAATAGTGGAAAACAAAAGCTCAGGTCACATTTAAATAAAAATGCAAGGCAGACTCCTGGTAAAGTGAGCAATCTGGTGAGACTGTCAATGTTATCAAAACATGAAAAAAGAGCTCTTTACTTGAGGTGAGGCCTGAGCAGGAGGCCTCAGGCAAGAGCCAGTATTTAAGCTGACCTGGGAGATAAAGATGGGAATGAGGGGAACACTTCCAGGAGAGGAAGTTCTCCAAATTACTGGTAGATTGCAGGCATAGAGGACTAGATCTTAAAATGTAATTCTTAATCAGCCAAGGTTCACCCCCCACCCTATTGCATATCGCCCCTTCCAAGCACACATTATGAAAATTTTTTTGTATGCATGAACTATTTTAATTGACATATATGGGGGCCAATTTAAAAAAGAAAGAAAAAGAATCTGCAAGTAATGATTGACCCTTAAAAAAAATTACTAGACCATGAAGTCTGAAAATTAGTTCAGAGATGATAGTGGCTATCATTTATAACAGAAAACATCTGATATAGTGGAAAACAAGAGGTTCTGATGCCAGCTTAGGCTCTTACAAGCTCGTGAGCTTTGGAGACTCCAGATTGGCCCTCGTTGCATGCGTAGGCTTCCAGATGAAGGCTCCACTAGACTCTGCACAAATAGGCAGGCACGGGCTCTGTGTCTCCCAGTATAAAAGCATTATTTTATAGTGTTTGTGTTTGTTCAGGTCATTCTCACATTAGAGTGAGGTGGATGTGACCAGATTCTGGGGAAATATCACCACTTTGCCTACCACTGGGAACTTTGGCTGGACTAACTGGTGGACCATGATAACCTTCACTGATTTATGGGCAAATTACATGAAGATGTAGCTCACAGAAAGTGAAACCCAAATGCTCAGCAATTGTTTGAAAGAAAGAGAAATAGGAGTGGTGGGCACTCTTAGACTGCTGATGGAGTATAGGTTGAAACCTTTCTGGCAAATCCTTTGGCAATAAATATCAAGAGTCTTAAAAGTTCATGATTGAGAGCACGAGTTTTGGTATTGGACTGGCCAGATTAAATTTTGGCCTCACTCATGGCTTTGAGTGTGCTGAGCATGTTACTCTATTTATATGTGCTTCAGTTTTGTCATTTGTGAAATGGGAGTGATAATCTACTTTATAGAATTGTTATGAGCCTTCAGTGCAGTAACAGTGCAGTAAATGCTTGGCATGTGATAAGCACTCAAGAATATAGTTACTATAATAATCCTAAAGGACTATTAAGAAACAAGGCCAAAGATTAATGCACAAAAATATTCATTGCTGCATTGTTTAAAATAAAGAAAACTTGAAAAAAAAATCCTAAATGTGGAACAATGGAAAACTAAGTAAATTATGTTTTACTCAAACAATTGAATATTGTGCTTCTGTTTTT